ACACACATGCTATAGAATCCGGTTCAATTGTTCAACGTCCATTGACGCACGTTAGATGTTTGATTTTTTTTTGTGTATATGATAAGAGCGCGGGAGCGATCAAGATTGGTATTGTTTTTGCGAAATTCTCATATACATCACATTCTTATTAGAATTCCAATTCCATAAAGGTGAGAATAATCTTTAAATCCAGTTTCTTTTTCCGCTGAATTCACATTTTCAATATGTTCTTAGGACTTTCGTTGGCATTAAAGTGACATTTTTCATTGTATTTTTTTCTTCTTCGTCTCAATGTTTTATATTCGGCGAACCATATATTATATTATATATGACCATATCTGTTTAATTAAAATTTATTCAAATTCGCATGTGCGAATTTCGATAAAGTTCCAGCAACGATTAAAACACACATGCCAGACTGAGATAGAATTATCGAATATATAAAATTAATCGCCTCATCGACGATGATTTTGCTTACCGTACGCGATATATCTTTTACTCTTTTTATCACATGGTTAAGCAGCAGGTATGAAAGTATGGATGAATAAAATTTATTTCCAAAAAAAAAAAAAATAATACAGTTTTGACCACTTTGGAAGGTCGCCAAGGACGCATAGCACGATATCACGGCGGAAATTTGACATCATATGCAAAACATGGTGTGTGCTTTACGTCAAACGCTTTTTTTCCTGAAACTAAATCAAAAGAACGAAAAAACAAGCCCTTTTTTATTCGAAGCATTTTGCTGGAAAATTTTAACGTCTATTTTTAAATAAAAAAAATAGACGATACGCAAACACTTCGCGTAAACAAACGCCTAACCAATAATAATTCAAATCACATTTGTTCATTTTATTTTTGGTGTCACCAAATTCAACTAACCGGTCAAACAAATACGTAAACAACTCATGAATTTCTGGACCAATTTTTGTTTTTTAGTTCTTTTTCTTAATTCAAAGCTTTACAAACAAGTTTAGATATTAATTTGTACTAAATTTTAACTTTACATTGATATCACAAAGAGTCGAAAATTGAATTTAACAAAAATTAAAATTTCTTACTTGAATGCATTTCGAGACAACTATGCGTCTCATCATCAGCATCACGACTGAAACGCTGGTGTAGACATTGATTAGTACATAGTTCTTTACACAAAACACTCGCAGGAGATAACGGTGATTTAAAAAACAACAACACGTGGTAACAACAACAAAGTATATCATATTGGTCAATTGTACACTATATGAGAGAAAATAGACACGATTCAATATTGCCTCTGTCTTGGTTCAATGAATTGTCATCTTTTTGTATAAAAAACGCTTCGTATGCATCTAGTTGGCTCTCTTTGTTTACTTGTTTAACCAAACGCACACTATCAATTGTGATACCGTCGTGTTCATCATTCAGTACATGAGATGCTATCGCAGATTTAAATGGTTGGTTCAATCTAACACATTGACAATGGTCTTTAAAACGTATTTCTATACTTCTTTTTGTTTGTCCATAATATTTGCGTTTACAAATGCTGCACTCAATTGAATATATTCCCGATTTTTGCAAGTAATGTATTTTGTCCTTCGTCGAGCCCAATAGATTTTGTAACTTACTATTGTTTTTATACACAATTTCTAAATTATGTTCCAAAAATTTATTTTTGAGTTTATTAGTAATGGACGGAGCAAAAGACATTGACACACGTTGCTTTTCCTGTTGTGAGTTTTGAGTGAAGAATGTTGTCATATTTGAGACATGTACTTTTTTTGAATGTTTGCTGATTAAATTATCAATCATCACTGCACTAAAACCATTTACGCGGGCTGTTTCTTTAATATGTTCATATTCTTTTTTGAAATTAGCAATTGAAAGAGGTAATCGGCAAAGTCTATGTATTAACGCATGATAAGCAGCCAATTTATGTTGAATTGGGCAGTGAGAATCACTTGTGATTGTTCTTATGGTATTGGTTGGTTTGTGGTAAACTGCAACGTCGATGATATTATTTCTTCTCTGTAATTCAACATCCAAAAATGGTAATTTACCATCTTTTTCTGGTTCACAGGTAAACTTGATTGTTTCGAATTGACTATTCAGAATATTCAAAAATTTATTCACTTCATCTATTCGGACTACAGCAAACACATCATCAACATTGTCAATGTGTTAGATTGAACCAACCATTTAAATCTGCGATAGCATCTCATGTACTGAATGATGAACACGACGGTATCACAATTGATAGTGTGCGTTTGGTTAAACAAGTAAACAAAGAGAGCCAACTAGATGCATACGAAGCGTTTTTTATACAAAAAGATGACAATTCATTGAACCAAGACAGAGGCAATATTGAATCGTGTCTATTTTCTCTCATATAGTGTACAATTGACCAATATGATATACTTTGTTGTTGTTACCACGTGTTGTTGTTTTTTAAATCACCGTTATCTCCTGCGAGTGTTTTGTGTAAAGAACTATGTACTAATCAATGTCTACACCAGCGTTTCAGTCGTGATGCTGATGATGAGACGCATAGTTGTCTCGAAATGCATTCAAGTAAGAAATTTTAATTTTTGTTAAATTCAATTTTCGACTCTTTGTGATATCAATGTAAAGTTAAAATTTAGTACAAATTAATGTTACTGGATATCACGCCGTTCAACAAAAAACATTTAATTTAAGTTTAGATAGATTTCAACTTTGCCAAATAAATGCGCTCAATCAAGTCGCCGTCATTTTTTCCAATTGACCATTGATGGACATTTTTTAGCCATTGTTTACGTAGTTCGATCACAAAAGCGAAATCGAAACGCGAAATCCAGAAAGCCATATCAACCTCGTTTTATCATTGCTGTTGTATGTAAATATCTTTATTGTTTCTCTCATTCTAGCCAGTGCAGTTGACCTTCTCAGAGTGTTTGAATGCGCGCGCACGGCATTTCAGTTAAGTGTGTTGCTGAATTTAACAATTTCAACAGTATAAAAGCATTAGATCATTTAGTACTTAGTAGAACTAGTGCTATGAACACGCAATCAAGTCATTGTTGTTATATTTGTTTTTGTGTTTGTGTCTGTGTCTTTTCTCTATTCCGCCGTTACTCGTAAAACCCGCTTCAATCACTAATCATTACATTTTCATCTTCTTCCGGTATTGAAACTTTTCTATGGCTGTTGTTGTTTTTTTTTTTAATTTCAATAAAATGCTACTGTTGTTCTATTAAAATGGCTTATTTATTACGAGTATCACACCTTGCATTACATCGTGTATTAAATCTGTTTTGTTTGTGTGTTAAATCTTTTGTTTAATACTTTTACCCCGACGAACATACATATTGCTATTGAAATGTTGAATCAAGACAAAAACTGAATGAATTGAATACAATGCTGATGAATCTTATTCAATTTGACAGATTTAACATTATCGCTTGATTTCATAAAGAAAAAAAAACTATACATGACTCTTCGCTTTGTTGTTCATTGTCCGCTTTTTGTCTCTGACGTTTGTTTAGTCGAAAACGCTCTTCAGTCTCGAGGAAACGTCATATGTGCTCCAGCAGTTGAAGAATCTCTTTTTTTTGGAGAAAAATAACATTAGTATTTCACAATCAATTCATTTTTTCAACCACTTAGCTAGATGTAATGTTTATTTAACATCTCTTTGCATTGATTCAAGCACTGATGTTCATTTTTTTTGTTAATTCGCAAATACCTTGAATTTTCACTGTTATTTCCTATTTTGTCTGAATGATAGTAAAATGTTTAGCGGATATCTAATCATGATCAAAGTGAATTACACTGAATGACATCACTGGAAGCAAAAAATCACTTTCAAAAATACACAAATAAATGAAATTTTACTTATAATCGGAGTTTTGTGATTGAAAAATGATATCGCAACGTTATCATATGCACAAAAAGACCGCAAAGTCTTTTGCAGAGTAAAATAGTTTCATTTTAATGCAAACCTTTCAACGACAATATGAGAAAGACGGAGAGTTGAATGAGATTTCTTATTTATTAAAATTATTCCCTAAATTCGACTTTTGATTCCAATAGAAATAGTTCGTTATCAAAAATTAGACAAACGACTTTTTATTCGTTTCTCAAAATGTTCATTTGTATTTTGTATTGTCTGAATCTGTTTATCAAATTCAACGCTGCACTATCGACATCTGAAATATAAATAAGAAATCGGTAACTGGTGTTACAGTTCAATCCCTTCAAATGTTTTTCATATAAACAAGTAACTTTCATTGAGTAATTATTGAATAATCGTTCTATTCGGTGTTGAAAACGCGCCAATAGTCATCATTTAATTAAGTAATCATCATTCAATTGAAGAACTCTTTGTTTTTTTTTGTGTATTCTTCGAAAATTGAGCTCAAATCATTCTCGTGTCAGATTAAACTTTGTAAGCTTCATTCCAGATTATGGCATCGGTAAGTGTAATTAAGTTTATTGGTTAAAGAATTGGTTATCGATTAAGCTTAACTATTAACTTTCGATTTTAGTACTGATCATTTTTAAAAGCACAATACCTTTGATAAACGTTACAGAAAGTTATAAAAACTAAAATCAGAAGTATTTATTTGGTCCTGAAATTCACTTGTTAGAGCAGATGCTATCATTTTGGTAGCAACAAAATAATTTTTTATCCATGTGACATTCTATCTCGAACTTTTGTTAAACTGCCCAACAGATATGTATCCGTCGCTGCGCATAGACGAATGGATCTGTTGGGTGTGACAGATATCTTTATTTTTGCCAGCGAGATACGGATGCATATCCGTACCAACAGAGGAACGGATACATATGGTTCTTATCCCTATGAGACTAACCAGTCTCTAATGAGTCTCATTTTATGACTTGCACAATATTTTGAAGAAAAAAAAAACACAGATATTTCAAATAAATTCTTTTATCGAATTCAGTTTATTTATTTCGGTTTGTAACAATCGATGAAATTGGTAACAATAAGTTGATACTTAAAATATAGATAAAATACATAATTGTACAAATATACTTTATTTTGTAATTAGACTGAAGCTCAAGATCTTCTGTTTTTTTTCCTTTTCCATTGATTGGATTTTGTGTATTTGTATGTTTTGGATTAATGCACAAAATTTGGCTTTTACATTTCTTAATTAAACATTTGTAAATTCGATTTAATTCACATCTCTACGATGAGGTTCATTTCTTCTTTGTTTGACTTATATTATCTTTATAAATGTTATTTTATTCTTATACAAGTAAATACTGTTCAAAATTGAAAAATTTTGGCAAGGAAGTGAAATAATTAGAATTATTATCACAATCACATACAAATTATTGTCTATCATATGTCTAACATCTTTTTTTATTCTTGCGAATATTGCTTTGTTGATTGGATGTGATGGTAACAGATAAATGTCTGTATTAAAATGCAAACATCATTCTTTTGTTTCGTTTAAATCAATAATTGTGATCGTTGCCATCAACGAAGAATGTATGGATAATCTCTTTTAAACTTGTATATGTTCCGATGGTCAAACCGGCCAATCCAATTGCAACGATTACCAAATTCTTAAGCACCATTATTGCCTTTGATAAACCCGATTTCTCTTTGTGGAATGTACAATATTCAATCATCTATATCGGAGAGTGAAAATGAAAAGAACACAATCACATTTGATTTTGTACAAATGATGTCAATAAAAAAAAACATACCGCAGGGAATGCCAATCCTAATGCAGACAAACAAAATGCACCAAATAACGAAATGAATAATTCAAGATTTGGTATCGCAACAGCCAATAAAACTGTAAAATGAAATATAATGTATTATGCAGTCATTTGGATATATTTATTGACAATAGCATAGATGATAAGAAACTTAAATTTGCCAAGAAGGGAAGCAGTACCGGAATACCAAAAACGTCAGTATTTTTGGTATTTCAGTATTTTTTCGACCCGTGAAAATCATAAAGATGAATTTGTAAAGGCAGACTTACATGTGACAAGCACGAGCAATGTGCGTACAACATATTCCCATAGTAATTTTCTTGGGCTATTTCCGACTCTTTTCACAACATAGTCATTCCATGTAATATCAATCGCTACATAACAGGCCAATCCATGTGTGATGAAAATTCCGAGTGCTAACATTCCTTTTGCAAGCTGTGCAGGTCTGAAATTGTGATTGATTTCTCGTTAAATATCTATAAAAACACAGCATTTAATGTTGTTTCAAACCTACAATTCGTTTTGTGGTAAGTTGAGAGTGATTGAACCTTTGATGTGAGCACCATATTTAAGATATCCAAAGAAACCCATTCCAACGTACAAAAAGATAATCGCTATCATTGCACGATTCAATACACCGAAGTTTCCGCCAAATTTCTTTGGGGTTTTCATTTCATTTTCCAATGGCATTATCTGAACAGAACAAAATCCATTGTTACAACAAATAACATTTGAATGGTTCATGATGGTAACTTACAACACCAATGGCTTCAAGCGCAAACAGAACGGTGCCGAAAAATAGTGGAAAATTGCTGAGACTTCCAACAGCATGTTTACCTTCAACAGAGATCGGATCGTGAAACATATAATAGCCAATGATGCCAAAGGATAAAATTGTGATCACATTTGCGACAGAAGAAAATGGTGCCAAATACTTCAAATTTCGAACCTGTTTGGCGAAATTTTTGTGATTAAAAAAAAAAAAAAACAATTTATCATTGTAATTTATTCAAGTTTTGAAAGAAAAGCAAAACAAAGTTGAATCAAGTAATTAGAAGAAAAAAAAAGCGCACACTAACCCAATTGATTAAAATAAGTGGTAATAGAATGATGACCATAAATAATCGAACGTCAATATCGTCATCGTAGAAATAATCGGCAATATCTTTGATATTTGATGCAACAAAAACTACATAAATGCAACAGGCACCCAGTTGATAGACGAGCAAAAATGCATTGGTGATATCACTGGAAAAAATGTTGTTGGTGTGTCGATATTGAAAGCGACAAAAAAAATGAATACAAGTTATTAACCTCGTTGTTGATTGTTTTCAATGTCGACTAGTGTGTTTATATTTGTGTGTGATTTGTGATTTGATGTAGGTCGATAACTTACACAATATATGGTGCAATGGCTCGTCCCCAAGCTGGTCCCTCTAATAAGCTTGCTTCTACAATAGCTGGATATGTTAAACTTGGAACCTGTTTGCGATATTAGATAAATCAGGCAATCATACACAATTTCTACAATACAAACTTTGACAATATCTATACAAATTACCTTTTTCCGTTTGCATAGTTCGTAGTGTGATCGAAGCAACATATGAATACAGTATGTACAAACGACACCGATTATCATCGTGCCCACGAATCCAACGATATAACCGGAATTATAGAATGCATTTGGCATGGCTAATATTCCGGTGCCCAATGAACCTTTCAGCAAATGAATCAAAGTGTCATTGTTTCTATTTTATGATGACAAATAAAATCAGAAAGAAAAAAAAACACAGAGAAATTTTAAATGAATGTTGAAAGACTTAAACTTAATTCAATAAAATTGTGTATGCAATATCAAAAATACGGAAAATGATCGAAATAATATGAAGATTACATAAGATTTTATGTTCCCACTAACCGGATGACTTTAACACCCTTTTTTAACATTCATTTAAAAATGTTGACCCATAACCGATAGCTGATGATAATTTCAGTATGTGTGAGATGAACAATCACTGGAGCCGCTTCATAATATAAAACAAGCATATGGTATAATGATAGTGTTTTTGTTATTGTAAATGAATGAAATGGTAAATTAAATAAAATGATGCATTCTTATTTACGATGATTGATTGAGTGTGATATTTTGCATAAATGGTTCTGATAAATCGCGTCACTATAACATCGCAAAATGAATCTTTGTATAAAATAATGCTAAATGGTTTTTAATCTTTTTAGCGCGTGATAACAATCAAAATTAATGACTTTTATTAAAAAAAACGATGATCACCAAACGGGCCGGTGTGTTATTACCGTGTGTCGGTGTATGTCATGACAATGTTAGTATGCATGTAAATTGAATTACTGTGCGAAAATGTTAAAATTGCTTGCATTCATAAAATAAAATGTACAATAAAAACTCAAATACTTACGTTGTTGGGTGTTCAACTTGTCGATTTTTGTATGGATCATAATCATCTTTTTCCGAATGTGCAACAACCGATACTGGGCGACTTTTTTCAGTCAATTCGATGGTATAATGTGTTTTCGTATCATTTCTGATTGTGATAAATTGAATTTTTAAGTCAATAAATGAAATTTAATGGATCGAAAAATTTAAAAAAAGACTCATGTCAATGTACGTTGAAGACCAATAATTTAATTTAAAGAAACGATCTAGGTTTAAAGAAATAAAAAAATAATGCCATAAAATTGTTACCCCTTTGCATCGTCGCTGACAAAAGCGATATTACTGTGGCCTGTTTTACTCATGCTGTGTCCTTTGTTGCCGGCTTGGTTTTTACTCTACAATTTTATCGGGCCGATTGTTAGTCACTGAATTCGATGTGTCTAGCAGTCTTTCGTTTACTAACGTCTCTTCGCACGCTAAACCACACTTGTAAATGATCAACAAGCGATTTATGATGGCAATGATATGTCCGCAGTGAAGTTTTTTCTCTCAACTGAGTCGTATGTGTGTGTATGTGATTATTCTAATTTACATTTGGTACACGTGTTTGAAAGCGCATTTTCATTGATATCCGCATCGATTGTATCAAATGTTGTAGGAAAACACAATGCAAATGAAAAAAAAAAAAAATAGAAAAAATAACAAAAAGTTATAATAAACAACACAACATTAATATGGATGACGATATTTGAAGTTCATGTATTGACAACAACGACAATAGAAGTAACAAACAAAAATGAAAGAAAATGTGAATAAATAAATAAGCTGTGTAATGTTTGTTCAATGATTCGGTGTAATGTTTGGAAATGATTTGGTTCAAGCTGTTATATTCGCATGTGACACAGGTGGTTGGACAAAAAAAACAAGCCCATTTACCATACGAATAATTCGTCTTTGATTTAAATATAACCAACAGTAAAATTCGCACAACAGAATACGAATGAGTGCTATTTTCTGCACCATTTAAAGCTAAAGTTCATTAAATCTCTTAACAGTTTTATGATGACGACAACAACAACAAAACTACGTTTACAAATTCCAAAAAAACGTTGAAAACAGAAAAAAAAAATTTTTTTTGCAAATGAAATTTCACCTAAATCTCTTATTCATTAACAAGATTTGATGGATGAAAAGAGAAACACTTGAATATGTACATGTTTTGTTTGTGGCAAATAATGTTATTCTGCAAATTCATTCATAGGCTCACTGCGTGTGCAAAATTCATACATACTTATTTTGCTGAATGGATTTTTTTTAAAACTAAATGAGCACAAACCTATTCGTCTGGCGTGCAATGGTGTGTTTTTTTTTCGTTGTCACAATTATTCACAAACCGCAAAGTGCAAATAGCCAAAGTCAGTCAATATGTCTGTACATATAATTTGCAATGCACATACATGAATATAGAAACGCAAACGACCCCAAACCAAACCGAATAGATAGTATAATATTTTCCAGTTTGACTGTCACGCTTTTTTACTGATGTTTTTTCTTTGCGGTTTTTACTACTCTATTTTGAAGAAAAAAATGCATGAAAAACGTCGCCATAAATTTCGTCACCAGAATTAGCTCGCCCATAAATGTATAATTGATCGTATTTTAATATCGCTCACTGTTTGACTGACAATCAATGTTTTTCCCGTTTATTTTCCCGTCTCTCAAAATTTTATGTGTGTCACACACACTCTTCGAATACATTTTTAAAATCCCGCGTAATTTATTTAGCTAATAAAATTGCCCGCCACACTGCCCGATTTCATGATCGACACTACTGAGAAATATCTGCTGTTATTGCTGCTGGATTATTATTATTAAGTGTTGATGCTATTTTTAGACGCATCAATTAATTCGCATGCAATTAGGCTACGTTTTTATTCATGCAATAAATAATTTCAAAAAAAAAAAAACTTAATAACAAGAAACTCAACCGTGTCGTGAATACGGTGTATATATATACAAAAAAAATTGTTCCTTTATTTGTGGTGCATGCACAGTATCGAGACACTCATTTTGAAGTGTAACACTTAGGTCCATTATTATTGCGATCGTTGTGCGGTTGCAAATTTTCCAAAACCATTTTGTGCATATGCATGATTATACGACGAAACAAATCACGTGCCTTTTGCTATGAGCGTGTGCGTAAAGTGTATTGTAAACGTGTCGATAAAAATCGATTGATTTATCCATTTTGGAATATTCAAGAACATACAATGACATTTTCTTCTTGAACAGAAAGGTTTCATATTCAGTTCTATGAGACATTTGAACGAAATTAAGTTCCGCTTTCCTTCTTCTTCCTAACACATAAAGTGTTACATTGTGTTTAAAAATATTATTTCATCAGCCTCGATCTATCAGCGTATTAAATAATTGTGATCATTAAAATGGCAAAAACTACTTCTGGTTTACTCGTATACATTATTATTTTACATGCTGTTTACCTGTATGTGACACATCGTAATTTTTTTAAATGAATGAAAATATTTCAATTGTTTCGATAAAACAATCAAGGTTTACACTTTCCAGCCGAAGACATTTGGCTGTAATTTATTTTATGTTCGTCTATTTGTAGTTCGTGTCTCAAATATAAATAAACACAAAGCCATATCTGGTTCATTCCAACAGATATGAGTTAAAAATAATTAAACTATTCATTTCCCGAAAGAATTTGTAGAATGAATGCTTAAGCAAAATATTTGTAATAATAATAATTAATTATTGTTACACAGCGGCAAATATTGCATAATTATTGTATTTTTTGTGATAAATTTTTTGTTTTATTTTGAAATCACACACACACACACACACACACACACACACACCTGAGCTACATTTGTTGAACAATCTGAAAGAACTTATTTATCACTTTTGTGTGACTTTATTGTGATCGAGATTGTTTGAGACGAACAGGTTTCAGAACATCGTAAGAGACTTGATATATTATATCTTATTATTCGTTTAATTTCTAGATGATTTGTGTGCTGGACGATTCTTTGGGTTTTTTCCCCGTTCGCAAACAAGCCCGGTTCTTGAAATATACTTGAGAACAATTTATCAATTCTTTTTTTCTCTCTTTTTTTATTGCTATTTTCATGCAATTAACCGAATGTTAATTGCAATCAGGTAGAATCGAAAGTACATTACGTGCAAATTTTTAAAAGATATACATATATTGTTCTAAAGCATGATTTACAAACCAACTTTTTTAGAGCCGCAGAACAAGCTTTTGTGGGAATCACCATGAAATCTCTTCAACAAGATCACACAATCCAAGGGGCAAATGACCCAATGTAAGTCCATGCATTTTGTTTACGTAAGTTTTTATGCGAAATTTTCTTTATTTTTTGCATGCTGTTCATTTTTGTTAGTTTGAAAATCAGTCCGAAGTGCCAATAAATGTCAGTCATATTGAATTGGACGAGAAAATCGAGTGACAAAAATCAAGCAATTCTGGAAGAGCTGAAAAATCACATATTTGCAACAAATACACAGAAATATATTGAATTCGTGGAAAAACTTTATAGCAACAACATGTTCTAATTAAATACGCGAGAATGTCTTTTACACTTTAATGAAATCTCGTGAAAAGTCTCACATTCATTCTCGGGCAATCAAATGTGATTATCAATGTTTGCGATTATTTTCTTTCACTGATTTATCAAATACGTCAAGTTCTGTAAGTATTCTGAAACTTCTATAGTGTGGGCATCTACCCCTAGACAGATCGTTGCAATTGAAAACAATACACAAGTTAAAATTTCGTATTCACAAAAAAAAAAAAATCGTCGAAAACAACGATGATTTTTTAAAATAAATGACCCTATCAGTTGCGTGTATTTCAATTTACACAATTAATGCGTGCATTTTGTTGCTAGTTTTCATTATTACGGCAGAACAATTGGAAAAAGTGTTCACTTGTACAATCACGTGATAAATAAATCGCTTAATAATAATAATGGAAAAACAACTAAAAAAACCCGAATATGTTTTGGTTAAAATTTTGCGTGAGCGTGTGCCGACCGACTGTTTAAATTGACGCATTTTGTCGGTCCTATATATTGACAATATGATTGAAGTCGTCTCAATTTAAACCATTAATTTGCATTACCATGCACAATATTTAAATAATATGACGTTAATTGCTCTGTTATGCACAATTGGAAACACACACACAACACTTGATACAATTCAATTTAAGTGCACGACATATTTCAATGTATGGCACGAGTTCAGAGTGTACGTTTTATTCATCTTTCTCTTTATATTGAAGTGCAATACTTGACTCAATTGATTATGCGTTTCATTCTGTTTGGCCTGTTCATATTGAGCGGAAAAACTTTCCATCACTTCTTATCATTCAATTTGTGCGCCAGGTGGTTTTATCGCTTCACAAGGTCATATGGGACGGTTGCATTGTATAAGAGAGAGAGAGGCGAAGAAAAAAAAATCTTTAAAATACTGCAATATTGTAACGTCGTTCATTTGAAAATGAACACAATAAATCTTTTGAAAGTGCATTACAATGAATGGCGACAACAACAATTGTATGGCCAAAGTTATTTTTCTCACATACGATTGGAATGCTGTTTATATTTCATTAACATCAAAATTGCACATCGTTACCACCTTTTGTGAACAAAATCCATTGTTTGACGCATTTTTTTTTTCTTTCGAAAATGAATAATGAGTAAATGACCGACTGAACGAATTTACTCGGAATTTTTTTGTTTTGGTTTAAATTTGTGCCGGCTTCGGCGTTCATGCGTATAACCATCATTCTAATTTGCTTCATAGTTGATTCTCGTACTTTGTCATTTCAATCAAAATTGCTTTTTTTAATATATGCAATAAAAACGATTGATATCAAAGTACAAATGTGTATTTTGTGCGCGGACACCAAGAATCATTTTTTTAAAAAAATACCATAAACTGGTTGTATTTTTTTTTTGTTCTGTTGCTGATATCACTTCTGAATTTGAACTCAAATGATTTTTTGACGAAGATCGAAAGATATACAAAATTCATATATATAAAGTCGACAATAACAGTCTGTAATAATGTGAATATAAAAAGTTCAAACACTGACATACACTGTAACGAACGAACAAAAAAAAATATATTGACAGCGATGAACGCAATTTAAAATTCAATCTGTTTCGTCTCGTTTTGTACGAGAGTAAAAGAAGCGAATTGAAAACAAAAACAAAACTCAATTCAGTGCTAATTGTACGTAGCATTGGAAACTGCGTTTACCTGTGTGCGATTTGAAGAAAGGTTAATTGCGTATTTATATGTTATGGAAGCAAAATGCGAAAATGTTTTTCACTTCCTTAAGGACTATTTTTTCATTTTAATGAATTTATGTGTTGAGCGTGTGTGCGTATTTGATTTATTTTTCCGGTCACGTGCCAATCTAGGGCAATGACACTACAAAACACAAATCATTTCTATTATTTCTGTCTCAATTTACATATGAATCACACATAAAACAATATGTATTTAGATAATTTGCAAATGACATTCACACAAACACTTGAAAGAGGTGAAAAAATAAATAAATATATGAAGCACTCGAAAAGAAAAAGAATCGCCTCAACATCTGTTGAATTGATATATATATATACATATTACGCCTGCTCTTGTGAGTGTCAAACGTGTCAACAAAAAGATAGACACGCGAGACATCATGCATATTATGAAATAAATCGCAAAATTAATCTCACATCACCGAAGAATGGCAAAGAGTGTTGAGGCGCCTGGCGTTATTCAGCTTATTTTTCAGCATATTTGCAACGAAAATCAAACAGCTACATGTGCAAATTATGAATGAGAAAAGTGTCAGTAAGTCAATGAATTCAGATAAATCACTGTGAAATGAATGAACTTCGTTTTCATCTCATCTTCCTTTTTTTCTCGTTTTTTTTTCTCTTAAAAAAATATGCTTACAATTATTACACTAACTGCGATGCGGTTTATTTTGTAAAATTATTTTGTTGATCCGTTGAATTCACCGAAATCTGTTAACAAAACCATAAAAATTAGTCAGTAACGATGCAGAAAATGTGCACGCTCGCACTCGCGGTCAAAATTAATGTCGAATCGATTAAATGATTTAAACGAATATAATTTCCACGTAATTTCAAAATGGCACATTTATTTTTGCAAACGAACAAACAGAAGGTAAACAAAATAAAATAGACACCGATTTGTTTTCGTTGTTGTTGGATAGACAATATGTCTCAAAAGGGAGAGACAGAGAAAAAGAGTGAAAGAAAAAGAAAAAGAAAAAACAAGTAAATTAATGCACTCACAGGAAAAAAAAAACAGAAATAATTCAACAACTTTTATAAAACAGGTAATTTTTTTAAAAGGCGAGTGTAATGTGTCTCGGTCACTGTTACACTCTTGATTTTGAAATGTTTACACGATCACAGCTCCGATGCGACTGATCGCATATTATGTCTGTTCTCTTAACAAATGGTCGTCATCAATATTTATATATGTACACACACTTTGTTTCTTCTTGCATCGGGATTTGGATATTCAGTCAATGTACAAAGTAACACGTTGTTGTGGGGTTTCGTTTTCGGTGCTTTTGTATAATAAACGGCTTGATTAGGTAGCACACACGGTCACATCTAGGTGTGCATTAGAGCAATTCGGCGGCAGACCGTTCTTTCATTCAATTGTACTTTTGTACTCGTCTCTCTCCCTCTCTGTCCTCCAGTCTATGTATTTCGGATAGATATCCATCCGAGATATTTTAGAATATCTGGATATTCAACGCAACTGCACAGTGCCAGAGCTGTTTGCATCGCAAATAGAATCTACGGTAGGTCGCTACGTATATGTGTATCAACTTGATACTATCAAGTGCCGCACGTACACAGTCACACTTTGTCTGTATTTTTCGTGTAGCGACATAACGTAGGTTATATGTGAGACGCACACAGCTCTGGCCCTGTGCAGTTGCGTTAAATATCCAGATATTCTAAAATATCTCGGATGGATATCTATCCAAAATACATAGACTGCTGTCCTCTGTATCTCTCACACTCATTCAATCGTTCTGAAAAGAGTTGATCGGTCGATCAAGGCAGAATGATCATTACACGCTTCAATTATAGCAAGTGCAAAATACCAATTGGGTATTGTGTCGCTGTAGCGCGCGCACATGGTGTCTGTTAATCGACAAATTCAAACTCTGTGCCAGAATGAAATGTTGCCCGAACGAAAAAAAAGAGTGATGAGAAATAAACGCTATGGAAGTGAATTTTAACAAAGAATCGACTAATTTCAGGCTCAACAATAGTGTCACAAATGATTGCACGTGATAATCGCCAAATGAGATCTATCTCATCCATTCATTTGCAATAGATATCTAGATCTCCTGAACAAACAATTGTTTTCCACATACAATGTGATGTATCGGCATAAAAATCGGTGATTAAGTGCTGTATGTATATAGATAAAATGTGTTTATGCAACAAAACAGGTTGCAGTGCACGGCAATCATAACATTACTCTTGTGCAATTTGATTCACAAATGACTTATAATTCGATTTGAATTAAACAAGCCCAATGAGTTACAATTATTTGTTGTTTGCAATTCTGCGCAATGCACAAAATTGAATAAATGATTATTTTTCTCTCTCTCAGATTCAATCTAAAAATAGAGCCCCCTCTATTTCTATATCTCATTCTGTCTTTGAATTGGTAGCCCGCACATAGTTAACAGGTTTAATAATTATCTGAATCATTTTGTCGTTTGTTTACAACCATAATATTTTGATTCATTTTTCCACACCATCCGTCTCAAGATTCAAGAATTGGAGCTGAAATGCAATTTTTCCGTTTTATCTCACTCTGTTCGTCTCTTGCACTTTAACGAATGGCATAACGTGCAATCCAAATGCATACGCGACGATGACAACACACATATGCGAACGAACGGATTCCGTTAATCGTCCAATGTCATTTGATGAAATAATTGTGAAGAAATGGATTTGATTAAACTAAGGTCAAGTGTATATATTGTGTATGGTCATTTAAGTGTGAACAAGCTACTTTTTTTCGTTTTTAAATTTCTAATTAGCTTGATCTATTCGTTAGTCGCGATTCTGTGAACAAAAACAGGAAGAGACCGAACAAAAATATTTCGTGGGATAATTTAATTTTTTTTTCAATTCAGTGCTGCATTTTATTCTGAATGATATGAAACGAAATTCATGCATTTCACACGTGAAAAACTGCAACATTTTGATTTAGAGCATGTAATTGCTTGAATTTTACCGGTTGTTACACGTACACAATCGCAATTGTGAACATAAATTGATAAATTTGTGGTGGTCGTGGTGGACAGTCGATGTATGTGTTGTCATTCGTTCACATAACAATCACGATTATGGATTGAAATGCGGAAAACGACACGGAAAATGTTTATGCTATACGTGTGAATCGATCTGTTTTCATGTAATCGCGCACCGATTCCACCATCACCATACCGATGAACGGACGTGATAACGTGACCATTAATATGCAATTGCTTTTCACATTCAATTCGATTTACAATTGTAAGATTTGCACACATTTTCGTCATCTGATCATTATAATT